GATGATCTTTGAGGTCCCTTCCAACCCAAACCATTCTGTGATTCTATGATCCAGGGAGATTACGAACACACACGAGCAGTGGGCAGAGAGTTGTTTGACAGCATCACAGTAATAAGGGCAAATGCAAAAGAGCAGCTGCTAACCTGGAGGTGAGTGTGGCCTAATCCACGACAGGGAGGAAGTGACTCAGTAATGTGTGGTTTCTCGACAAGTTCTGCATGTTTCGTGATGACAGTGTCATGTGTCCTACAGAGCTACTGCGTAAGGTATGGCCACATCGCACAAAGGGATTTGTATCTCAGAGCTTCTGGGTTACTGTGCCTTGATTTCTCCACACCACTAATGGCTTTGGAGCACCATCCCACGATCTTGGGCATAACACAGCAATTAGTGCAATCTCAAAATTAGAATGACACTCTCAAAATGACACAGAGAGCATAACTTGATAGAGAGGTATGCAAACCCACCCTGTCTACACGTGTGCTGTTGGAGGCTCAGGAACTCAACTTTCAATCTCATCTTTTAAGAGTGGTGGTACTAGCAGGAGTAGATTTGTGCAAATGTGGTAAATATTTGTGGTAATTTTGCAAAGCCAAAGTACCATATGGATGCCATGTGGGTAGGGGATACCGAGTCCTCTGAGAGCATTTTTTTTTTCTGGGGTATAACTTGCTCTGTGTTAAAGATGGTGAAGCTCAGTGTGACTTTACCTTCAATTCTTGAAAGAATTTCTGAGCCTGCTGAGTAAAGGGTGACTTTTCCAATGGGACTTCAGTCCTTCTTGTTTTCTCATCTCCTTGGCTTTGCGGAGGGTGTTATTCTGCTCTAATAAAATATAATTTTCCTTTTTCTCCTCCCTCACATTTTACTCGTAAGACAAACTGCGGCGGGAGGGTAAGTATGACTCTAACACTCTCATTTGCCATCACTGTCACCCCTTCCACCAGATCACTTGTTTCTGTTCACCATTGCGGCGTTCTCATTTACTTTGCACCACCATTGCTGCTGCTTCACAAATGCGTTGAGAGCATCGTCCTCTTTGCTGCAGAGCTTGACCCTCATGGTGAAGTTGCCAGAGCTGGAATGTCCTCAACCTGTGAATATGGTTAAAGCTGTAAGTGCTTCTCAGCAATGACCTCAACTTGAAGGAAAGGAACTTCTGCAGCAAAATGGGAAAAACTTCAACAAGGGCTTGTTGCCCATGATTTGGCTGGCATGCATTAGGAGAAACTATACTGAATAGCAAGAGCGTCTGGTGGGGAGTTTGGACTCCTGAGTAAGGTTAAATCTCTATCTGGAGAAAAGCATTGCCTACTTCTGCTCTCTAAGGGTTGCCAATGTGAAGTAATGTTTGGTAGAGCTTTAACCCTGCAAAAATCCAGATGAAGTCAGCCATGGTGTGCTGAGTAGGGAGGGAAGCAGGCTCGGAAAGGATTTGTTTGGGGCTAATTAAATTTGGGGCTAATTAAAATGTAGGTCATGCAAGCACTAATGAATTTGCACTGAGATGCGGTTCCTGTGGTCAGCTACGACAGAGTCCCTGCCTGTTGGTAAAGCTTTATTTTCCCAAGACAGGAGGGCTTTGCCTTCACCCAGCTCTAGGAACCAGAGAGATATTTCCTTGGAGGTGCTCTTTGGCCCCTCATCAGCAAAGTGGACAAAGTTTTGCATGCCGTCAGCTGTGAGAATTGGGCAAATTGTGAGTATTTATCAACTAGGAATGACCTACAAAACCAAACAATAGTACAAGAGTTCATGCTGACGAAGTATTTTGTGGATCACAAGGGAAGGGTCAGAGAGAGCATCCAGAAAGCATTCCATGGTTAACTCCTTTAAAAGTCTTGCTGGCTGCATTTGGGGCAGGTCAGACCAGCGTGGCTGAAATGCAGGGATTTGAGACCTCTGCAAAGAGTCGTTCTTTTTGAGAAGAGGCTCAAGGAAGATTAGAAATATCCCTAAAACTAATCTGGTAATAAATTATGAAAAAAGTCTTCCAAGTATCTCACCCAGAACTGGAAGGAGTCTTGGGATTCATTAGGGATCTCGGTGACATAATCCCATTCAGAAACTGAGCTCACTCCTTCTCTGAGCTCTAAGCTTACCTGCCCTGTCCCTGGGGAAGGCTGCTCTGGGACTTTTCTACTCATTTATTTCAGTGCCTTCTTCTTCTAACATCCAGTCTACATGATTTCACAGCCAGTTTCTACCTTTTGGACTTGTGACAACTTTGTTCTTGAGCTTAAAGAGCTTTTTTTCCTTTACTGGCACGTAACCCCCTGTTATAGGGAAGACTATTGTAGCCTTTCTCAGTTACCACTGTAAATTCAAACCTCACCTGGGACTGGGCAGAAAGTTGCTCTCTGGTGTTGGCCATGAGGCTAGAAACTGATAAGCCCCTAAGGGCTTTCAGCATCCCTACTACAGGACACAATTGCCACCTACTGGCTGCCTTTCAGGAAGCCTGAGCTGGTTGGAAGTGTGACGTAGATGTTGGGAAATGAATTATCATCTCACTGCACTCAAGCCCATCATGATTGAGGGATACTGGGCCTGATGGGAGAAACTCAACCTGGGGCTTTTGTCTCCAAGTCTATGTTTCCACTCCTCTCACCAGCAGTGGAAGGTTTTTTGCTGCCTTCAGAAATAAGGAACAGTTCAGACATTTTTTACTCATTTTTTACTACATTTTAAATCAGCTGGTTTGCAATGTGCACAAAAAGAGGAGCAGAGCACAGAGAGATTTTCTTCTCCGTTTACAGCCATCCTTGCCTGTGCCACTTTGCTGCTTTGTGCCGAAGACTTATTGTTGGTTTTAGGCCACACAGATAAAAACCTGTAAGGATTATTTTGATGTTGAAATGATATTTTTTTTCCCTGGGAAGAATACATGCAGCAGTGGGGCACATTCACAGCTGGTCTCACCAGGTAAGAAAGGTGAGATTAATCTTGTAACCATAATTGCCAAAAGCTAACCTAGAGAAGGCAGAAAACACTGGAACAGGTTGCTCAGAGAACTTGTGGCTGCCCCATCCCTGGAGGTGTTCAAGGCCAGGTTGGATGAGGCTTTGAACAACCTGATCTAGTAGAAGGTGTCCCTGCCCATGGCAGGGGGGTTGGAAGTAGATGAACTTTAAGATGTCCTTCCAACCCAAACCATTCTATGATTCTATGATAAGGCGACTTGGCTCCCTTGAAGTTCTAGAGTGAAACTAGCTTTTGTGTCATGCTCCTTGGTTAGCCTGAGATGGAGTCCCGTTGACTCACTTACTCTAGACACTAACTTTTAGGCAGCTGAAGCAAGGGAAGAAGATCCTTATTCTCTGCCTTGAGCTTGGTATGTGGCCAAACCTCCTAACCTCAGAGCTGCACCTGAGCAAGATGACAAAGGTCATGAGTCCGTTGGTGAGAGGCTTGAGAGAAATGGCTCCTGGAAGGGCAGAAATGAAAGAGTAAGACGCTACAAAGTGGTTTGCTGCCCAAGGCCCAGGACAGATTTGCTCGTTCGAGTGCCACGGAGAACATAGGATGGACCAAAGACCATTTCCAAAAAACTGAGAAGGGGTATGTCAGGCCTTTGTGGGCCATACCCATGTGCACAGGATAAGGTTTAAACTGCTGCATGGAGAGCTTTGTTTAGGCAGAGGTGGTAGAGAAGAAGGTATTGCAGAGGGAAGCTTAGCAGCTCTGTTGTGGATTTATAAAAACAGGTTAGACAAACATCTGTCAAGAATGGTTTGGATCCAGCTGGTCCTGCTTTGAGATGTGGTAATAGTCCTCAGGTTTCTTTCATCTCTAGTTTCTTGTAACTTGTGCAATGCAATAGGTATGTTTGGATATGTGCTGGCTGTAGCGATATTTTTTGCGAATACGAGCTTGACTTGAAACTCTGAATCTTAACTGAGGAGCATTCAAAATATGAATTAAGGCTTGAATCCATGCTGTGCATGAGCAGGGCTGAGTATGAATTGATTTAGATAGTTTGGGACTTTTGTTCCAGTTTTGCTCCAGACTCCACCCTGCAAGCATCTTTGTCTTGAACATCATCATTCATTCAGCTTTTGAAAAGCCTTGATTTTTCTGGCCTCCACGCTCCATCTAAGCTGCCAAAGCCTCTCAGCTGCATCTCATTGTCCCCATAAACCTTCCTGTGCTTCTCCTCCAGACATACACCGGTTCAATACTGGTGGCAGTAAACCCCTACCAGCTCCTACCCATCTACTCACCTGAGCAGATACGCCTGTACACCAACAAAAAGATTGGTGAGATGCCACCACACATCTTCGCAATTGCTGACAACTGCTACTTCAACATGCAGCGCAACAACAAGGACCAGTGTTGTATCATAAGGTGAGTCAGTGGATTTCCAAATGGGCCACATCCTGAAAATGGATGCTGAGCACTTGCAGCGTGGTGAATAGGGAGCAGCTTAACAAAAAGAATTAGAAATTTGAACAACCTATTAGATCTTCCATGCATATATTCCCAGTGCAGAGGTCTCTGTTTGCAGTCACTGTTCCTAGTAAAAGTGCTTTATCGATCCTTTGGTACTTACCCTACCACCCAATAGGTCTCATATTCATCTTTAACTCCTCTTTTAAATTTAAACTCAATACTCCTACAGACATCAAAGATGCAGAGATCTATACGTTCTGCATATGTCTCCATATATCAGACAGGCCATAGAATCACACCAAGGGATTTCTGCTCAGCCCTTCCTCTTGTACCATTGCCAGATAACAGAAGTTATCTTTCAGTGAAGAGAAAGTTTTGTGGAGTAACTCTTTCTTCCTGCCCCATGATCTTCTCCTCTCCTACCTGCCCCTTGGCAGGAGATGCATAAGGTACATATGAAAGTGCCTGCCACTAAAAGTGTTTCACAGTCTGCTTTCTAGTGCATTTTGGCAGCTCAATACTGATGATGAAGATGCCCCGTGGGATCAGCCAGCCCCTGGACCACAGGCTCATGGTCTGGTGATCATACCTGGAAAAGGACTGTCTGAAAGTGTTTCCTGACCTTGTTAGTGCTGGTTGAATGATTGTATTTGCTGGAGAAACCCAAAGCCAAGCCAGGATAAGCTTTGGCTGGGTCTCTCTGGTTTGGGCCAAACGGACTGTAAAGCAAATGTGGATTTTGGCTGGAAGCTGTCCAGTACTGTATCTTACCATTTCTCCTACAACCAGTCCATGGGATGCTGGAAACCCATCCTTAGTGGCCTCATCCTACGTGTGCTAACGGAAGAGGCACAAAGGCAGCAGAGGGACATTGGCAGGGATGCAGTAGGGCTTTCGCTGACCTCCATTCCTCTTGTCTTTGCAGCGGTGAATCCGGAGCAGGGAAGACAGAAAGCACAAAACTGATTCTGCAGTTCCTGGCAGCCATCAGCGGTCAGCACTCCTGGATCGAGCAGCAGGTCCTGGAGGCAAATCCCATCTTGGAAGGTGAGGCCTCAGACGAAGGAGGCATTTTTTTTCTGACAAAAAAAAATCAGATTCAGGAACCTCAAAATGTGGCCAAATGTATGCCACTTTGTTGTATTCTGAGTTTCAAAAAGTGACAAAATTAAAAAAAAACAAAAGCAATTATGTAAATCTTTGTTAAACAGCATATTTGGTTTCTTTCCATCTGAATTTATTTTTCACAAGGCAAATATTCTCTGATTTGCGCTCTCAAATTTTCCATTAATATTTTTGACAACTATTGTTGAAAGTGACATATTTCAGCTGACCTGAAATTTTTCTCAATTCTTTTATTCACTTAAAATTGAAAAATGTGTGTTTTTTCCACTTAAATCAGTACTTTTTTCCCCAAAATTTCAAAATGGAAACCTGAATTTTACCTAATTTTCTGTGTGGTCTGGGATTTTGTAGATTCCCTATCCCTGGAAGTGTTCAAGGCCAGGTTGGATGAGGCTTTGGGCAACCTGGTGTAGTGGAGGGTGTCCCTGGCCATGGCAGGGGGGTTGGAACTGGATGATCTTTGAGGTCCCTTCCAACCCAAACCATTCTGTGATTCTATGATTCTATTTAAAGAATGCTGATCACCAAATACACAAAGCTCTTCTCAAAAACCTTACCACCTTTTCCATTGCTGGAATTACAACTGTATGCAGAGCACCAATGTCCTGTAAATGCTACATTCAACTAACTTTTTGGTTTATTTGACCGTAGTTGCAGAAATCCAATTCCTGTTCTTTGCTGGTT